GGGGGGTGCCGTACGCGGTGAAGTCAAAGGCGGCGACGCTCGTGGCGGAGGTGGTGCGGCAGGAGGGGGCGGGACTGTGGTCGAGATTGGTCCCGGATTTGGTCGCGATGGCGGCGAGCGAGGAGCCGCAGAGCGCGGAGATGGGGGCGTGCGTGATCAGATTCGTGGCGGAGGACGTGGCGGTGTATAACGAGGACTTGATCGGTGGGAGGATGCGGGAACTGTTGGGTGGATTGACGAGCACCGTCGGGGTGATTTTGCCGGCGATTTACTCGCTCATGGAGAAGCACTACACCAAGGCGACGTCGTGTGCGGACTCGCGGCTGGCGAAGCTGCACGCGGCGGCGGTGAGCGCGGCGATCGGCGCCGCGGCGGTGTACAGCGAATGGGCGCCCTTGGCGCCAATCATGCGTAGCGGTTTGATCGAGGCGTGCGGGATGCTCTTGGTGCGTGCGCTCGCGCTATTTTTCACCGCGACCTCGTCGAATTTCGCCAGTGACGATCATCCATAAGGATCAACCAACCGAACATCCCTGTGTGGATTTTTTGCTAGTACTGTCTGAGGCGCACTCGACGCGATTTTGTTCCCGACAAGAGAGACTCGTTCGACTGACTCGCGTTGAAATTATCGCAGGCGAGTGAGGAGTTCCGATGTCCAGCGTGTGACGCGCTTCGACACGTCGTCGCTCGGAAGAGCAACGTGGCGCAGGGAGTGGATGAAAAGGACGACGCGGATATCGTCAAGGGATTGACGCTCGCGGCGAACGCGATGTCGACGGCGGCGGAACGCATCGTGTCAAATCCGAACCAATCTGACATAATCAACGATCACGAGGAGATTATCTTCGTGAAGCGTTTAGCCGACACCATGACTATCATGTCTGGGTATCATCTGAGCACTATCACCGACGAGAGCGCGCGAAATCTCTTCCTCGAGAGATTCATGAGCTTGACGCGTTTCCCGAGCTTGGAAGTGTTGGACGTCGTCATCGGTGCGTGGCCGGTGATGCTTCGCGCCATGGGCGCCGAGCTCCCGAAAACGTTCGTCCGAGGTCCGCCGTCGCAGGGCGCGGACAATCCGTACAACTCCGGAAAGCTCGAGCCCAAGGGAATCCTTCCAGTTGGCGCGCCGGAAATTTTGTTGGAAATTGCTCGAGTGTGGTTCAACGCGGGCGCCGGGATCGCGTCTGGATTAGAAAACAAGGGAATTCCGGGTAATAAGGCTAGGGAGTGGATGGATGAGTGCGAGACCGCGCTCGAGCTCCGGGAGACGTGGGTTCAGCTTCGAGCGAAGTGGATGGATGTCGTAAAGCTGTGCACCGCGTTGTGCCCGAGCAACGCGGCGGCGCAAGCCGCAGAGAACACGATGATGGTCGTTTCGTGGACCCAACCGGGTGGAGTGCTCGCGAATGGGTCGGATGAATTGAAGTGTGCCGCTTTAGAGGGCGCGACATCGTTCTTGGAGGCTGTCATGAGCGCTCTTCCCACGGATGGTCCGTCGTTCTCGGTGTTCTCCGGTGCGCTGGAGTCGCTCCTGGGCAGTCTTGTTGCCATTGACTACAAGGCACCCATGAGCAACGCCCAGGTCGCTAAACTATTAGAGACCTTTGGTAAGTTCGGTAAGGCTCGTCCTGAGTTGGCGTCGACGATCATGAGTCGATTGTTCACGATTTTGAATGAATTACCGGCGGATTCCCAAGCCGGGGCACCTCCGGTTCGCCAACGCGATATCCTCACGAGCGGGCGCACCGGTCAGGCGGCTAGGCAAAAGGTGTGCGCCGCCATTCTCATTGTTTCTTCGGCCGCTCCAATGGTACGTTTGTGCGCCCGCTATCGCTCGTAGTCGCAAAGAAAGCGCCTCTTTAGAGACTCGACGAGCCCCTCACTCGTTTTGTTTTATGCTGGGGCGCGAAATAAACGCGCGATCGCGATTGGATGGTGACCTCTTTCGCGGTCTCTCTTCCGCTCGAGGTCGCTACAATTTCGACAAATAGTCCTGAACTCGCGAAATTATGCATGAGACTGACCGATGAACGTACTTTTCCTTCTCCCGGCAGGCGCTGAATTCGCATTTGGAAGCTTTTGCCGCGCAAATCGAGAACATGAAAGCGTCCGGTCGATTGAGCGGTGCCGAGCGAGGTTCCCTCGCGGAAGCGTTGCTCGCCGTTGCGGGACCGTCCGGGCCGGCGCGCGTGCGTGAAGTTCTCGAGTGGCTGCTCTCGTCCGTGAGAAGCCGATGGGCTCCGAACGGAGCGCCATCGCCAGAAGTCGCACACCTACTGGCCATCCCCACGATGTCCGCCGGAGAAGGCGCCGGGGGCACACAAGGCTTGTCAGGAGCGCACTGGGAGCTCTTTCACGACATTCAACTCACCGAGAGGTGCCTCAGACGCAGCCTCGGAGACGGTGAAACTGCAAAGTTGCCAACTGGATTCCTCAAGCCAGTGGATCCGCCGCCAGACGTGAAGGACTGCCCGGCTGCAGACCATATCGAGTGGGTCGTCTCACTGATTTCTTCCCTCTTGCACACCATTCACGCGTTTTGGACGCCCGAGGGAAAGGCGGCGATGCGCGCCGCAGGTTTGAGCGCCGCGTTAAACATGGCTCCTGAGGAGCGTGCGGCGTACTTGATTCACGGTCCGGCACGCACACAGGTGCTGAGTGAGGAAGAACCCGGTACAATACCGAGTGCGTCGCGCGATTGGATGCGATGCCTTCGCGACTGCTCGTACTCGACGTTCGCTCTCTTTAGCGTGCATGCTCCCGCGGCATTTTATCCGAATCAAGCTCTCGCGAGCGTGTGCAGCGGCTCCATGCTCGCGCACCTGCCGCACATGGAGTTGCGACACATTCGACAGTGCGTGCACGCGGCGGTGCGACCGATCATGGGGAGATGTCCGCAGGCACACCGCGCGCTTTGGCAAGCGGCGCTCGTGAATCCGTTGTGTGCTTCGCTTCATGACCGGCTCGCCGCAGCTTGGATGGACACACGTGTCGTGAACGCCACGAAAACCATGGACAAGCGTGAGGAGGACGATAACGATTCGGTGGACGACGCCGAGGTGGAAGACTTGATTTCAGAGAGAATTCTCCGCGAAATCACTCGAGATCACTGCGCTATCCTCTCCAACGTTGCGTCGCCGGAGGGAACGTTTGGTCGAAAGACGAAGGGCGGCGGGCTTACGGGCGTTATCGGAGACATGTCAAACAGCGTCAAGGGCACCGATCACGGCGGCGGCAAGCACATCTTGGCTTGGATTACGAGTGGAGACGCTGTGGCGGTCCGTGCTGGGATCGCCACGGGCATAGCCGCTCTCAACTGGGACGACACGGAGGCGACGGCGCACGCGGTGAGTTTCATTCGCGCGCTCACCGCTGCCGCCGGCGGAACCGAGGCTCCGCAACCCCTTCGCGAGACTGTCGGGTCGGATGTTTTCCAGGCGTGTTTAGTTGCCCTGACACAGAGCTCCAACGCCGCGCATCAGGCGAACATTCTCGGATTGATCCGTGACATCATTCTCTGGCTCTTGCCCAAGACACAAGCCGTCGGACAAATACTCATGAGCCTTCCCGGAATAACTCGCGAATCCCTCGACGCGTGCGTCACCGAGCTCGGCGCAATGCGAAGCGAAAAGAAGGCGGCAAACTGCGTCAAGGACTTCTTGATCAACGCCAGCGGCGGTGGTGAGGAACTCCGCGCGCTCGTCGAGTCACGCTCGTCGAGCAAGAGCGCGTCCGCCATTCAAATTCCAAAGAGCGAGAAACGGAATCCACAGAATCAGACCCAATCGCCCGACGGCACACTTTTTTCCGCCGAGGCGGCGTCCTCGGCGATCGGGCTCCATTAGCGCGACAAGACGCCCACGCGTTGTCGTATGAAACAGTAGCGGTTAAAACCTCACTTCGCGCCGCCGGCGATGCGCTCGCGCACCCAAACCTCCCACGCCGTCCCATCGAGCTCATGTCAACGAATCGCTCGGTGTCGCGACGTCCATCGCATCGCGCGCGCGCCCAGAGCGTCCGCGACCGAGTCGAGCTGGGGTCCGTTTGACCCGCCGCTCCCTCGTCCCGCGCGCTTCAAGCCTCTCTGGTCACATCACGAAGCCACGAGAGCGCTCGACGCGCGCGATGCCGGCGAATCGACCGTCGAGATATCTCTTGACTTCCATCTCACGCCGCGCGTGCGAGGCGCGATCGAGGACGCGGGCGTCAGGGCGACGACGAGCGACGGCGAAGCGACCTTCGCGACGTGGTCGGCGCTCGAGTCGATGGCGAAAGACGAGCGTGGGGTGTACGAACCGGAAGACGAGGACGATTGGCTCGAGGGTGGTTTACGAAAGGTGCAAACGTTCAGCGAGGACACTGGGCGCGCGGTGAGCTTGATGCCGAGCGGCGAGACGACGCCGGCGACGGCGCTCATCGGCGGCTTCTCGATGCATCGATTCGGCGTCGGAGTCGATCCCGAGGAAGATACTAGGAAGAAACTGGGTGCGATCGCACCCATTCGAAGAGACGCGCGGTTGTTGGACGTTTGCACGGGGTTGGCGTACACCTCCTGCATGGCGTTTAGCGAATACGGTTGCCGAGTGAGCACGATTGAGCTCGACCGGTCGATGACGGAGATGTGTCACGTGAACCCGCACTCCAGGGCCCTATTCGAGGGCCAGATTGAACAGCTCTATGGAAACGGCGCGGACGTGGTGAAAACTTTCGAGGACAATACGTTCGATTACATCGTCACCGACCCGCCGACTTTTTCCCTCGCGGGCGAGCTCTACAGCGCCGAATTCTACGCCGATCTCAAGCGAATCTTACGCCCCAAAGGCAAGGTGTACCACTACATCGGCGATCCCAAGAGCTCATCCGGGGGCAAAGTCGCCGCGGGCGTCGTTCGACGTCTCAAAGAGGTCGGCTTCGACGCCGCCATCGATTACGACGCGCACGGAGTCGTCGCCGCCGTCGGTCGCGTTCGACTCAACCGCTCCAAGACCAAACCTCCGCGCGCGTCCAAACCGAGACGCGACGGGACGGTCGGGCGCGAGAGGCGCGACGGCCGTCCCAGGGCCCGTCGATTCGACGATGATGTGGACGATCGCTGACCCGCGCCCGCGCGACGCCGCGCCCGCGCGACGCCAGCTGGCATAGAGTCCCTCGTGTTCTGAGTCATGACTCATAAATCACACTTTGGCGCGAAAAAGTGCGTTTCAAACACCCGCGGCCCGCCGGCGCCCCATTCATCCACGCCGCGACGCGTGCGAGCGCCGAACGCGGGCGCGAACGGGGCACGGGCGCGCGGGTAATTTACATGCGCGCGGTCTCGAGCGGCGCGACGGCGCGCGCGGTCGCGCGCGGTGCGAGCGAGCGACGGTTGACGAATGAAAAGATGTCAAAAAGTAGACGGTTGACCGCGACGACGGTGCGCGTCGACGCGTTCGCCCTGGATGAGTTCGGACGCGGGCGGGCGCGCGAGCGTCACCGTGGGTCGACGACGTCGGCGGGACGATCGGGAGATGATTTGCTGGAGTGCATGAAGACGCGCGCGGGGCGCGGCGACGACGCGCGCGGGCGGCGCGGGACGGAGGCGCGCGCGGAGGGTGGTAGCGCGAGCGCGCCGTTGTTAGGACTGTTGACGACGCCGACGATGCGAGGGGTGAGATGGTCGAGTAAGCGGGCGCTTCGTGGGATGTTCGACGCGCTCTGAGCGCGAAGACGGAGCGACGCGAAGGCGGAACGACGAGCGACGAGCGACGCGACGGCTCCCGAGCGCGGATTCCATCAAAGATGCATCCGCGCCGGAGCGCGCGCGCGCGCCGTGCGATGGTACGAGCGCGATGACATCCCGATCGATGACGATATTTTTGACTAGCGCGTGTCGTGACGACGGATGTCCAATTTTCCAGACGCGACGCCTTCGCGCCCGGACGCCGCAGACCCGAGCGCGCGCTCGGCGTCGATCGCTCACCGCGCGCCGCGAATCGACAGCGCGTTTTCTCTTCGGTACTCGTTCGTCCGTCACGGCGCGTCTTCGAGGTCGTCACCGACAGCGCGCGGCGTCGCGGCGCGATGAGGTCATCAATCTATCCGCGCGCGTCGAACGCGCTTCCGTCGCCGGCATCGACGCCGACGCACCGTCGACGCGGATCGTGCACTCGGCGTCGGTACATCATTCGTCCGAACGCCGAGATGACACCCGAGAACGCGGAGGTGGACGATGCGAAGCCCGCGAGAGCGTCCCGGAGGAAACCGCTCGGCGACGTCGCAAAGGCGTTGTGGGAAGAGGTCAAGTACAAACCGTTAAAGGAGGATGAGACGATCGAGGCGGTGGCGTTGTTGGCGACCCTGGAACTCGCTCGACGTAGGCCTGAGCCGGGTGAACAGTGGACGGAGGAGAGAGAGGAGATGCGCGCGCGGGCGCGGGAGGCGATACCGAGCGCGGTGGGCGCGTATTGGAGCGCGCGGAGCAAAGCTTTGATGGATAGCGACGCCGTGCGAGACGCCGCGCCGTACATGTCGAGTGCGGTGAACGTGGCCATCGCGGGCGTGGTGATTCGGTTGTTCTTACCGCGATTGGCGGCGCTGCAGGCGGTGGGCGGTTTCGACGAGTTGACTGAATTTTTTGGTCTGCCGCCTAGGGCAGAGTTGAGCGGATACCTGGATCAACTGCGGGAGTACCCAGTGATTACGGTGTTCGCGGTGTACGTGTTGTTATTCATGGCGGAGAAGTTGACGATGACGGACGAGTTCGTGCCGATCGGGTTTGTGTTGCCCGTGATATCGCCCGTGGTTTTCGGCGGGGTTTTCGGCGGTACCATGGTGACGTCGCTCGCGAGCACGCTCGCGGCGAGCGTCAACTTCTTCCTCGCCAGATACGTCTTGAAGGACAAAATATTATCCTTTAAGTGGGGCGAGAGCGCGCCGGTGGGGGAACAACAGTGGTTCGGCGCGCTGAGTCGACGGTTCGATTCCTCACAGTTTCCTGAGTCCAAGATTCCGGAGGGCTTCAAATCCGCCCTCTTGCTCAGGCTCTGCCCGATTCTTCCGATTCCAATCAGTGGGAACTGGTACGTATGTGGGCTTACGCCACTCAAGTTTCAAGAGTTCTTCGCCGCGCACTTTATCGGGAGCTCAAAGACGGCATTCATCGACGCGTACTTGGGTTCCATTTTACTCCTCGCGCTCGATGAAAATTCAATCAAGGATCAAGCTCAGGGAGCTTTGGTGTTCGAAACGGTCGCCATTGCGCTCATATCCATATTGGTTAGTACGTACGCCACCGAACTCTTCACGCAAATATTGGACGAAGAGGGCGTGGACGCGAACGCGATGATGGGTTTCGGCGGCGGCGACAAGAGCGACGACGAGGAAGACGCTGAGGACGAGAACATCACCAAAGCTTTCATCGCCTCCGCCGCGATTCCTGTGGCCGCAGAGGAGCCAAAATCAGAAGCGAAAGACGAAGAAGAAGAAGAAGAAGAAGAGGAAGAGCCCGTGAAAATCCCAATTCAATTCATGCCCGCCGATGAAAAAGCCGTCATCGCCCAAGGCGACGAGCTCTGGAAGCGCGCCGCCGCCGTGGAGGCGAAGAGGAAAAACCTCACCATGAGTGAGATCGCAGACATCGACGCCATGGACGTCGATATGTAACCACTGTACCCCTTAGTATTCCCTAGGTTGAACCACCGAACCTCTCGGTCCGCACTCCGCGGCGCGTCCCGCCCGCCGCGGAACGATGTCCACCCTCGAATCTCTCCGCTCCCTCGTCGCCAACGGCGTCGCCAAACGATTCGACCTACGTGCGTGGTCATCCACGTCCGCCTGCGATGTCGGCACGTCCGCGGTAGATCGTCTCGAGCACGTTTTCAGCCAAGCGCGTCCCGACGCGTTGAAGCTCATGGTGATGGAATCGCTTCAAGGCACCGCTCAAGCGGACGCGGACGTGAGCGTGTACGGCGAAACCGTGGTTCGACCTTTTGTAGACTTTCTCACGAAGCGGTGTCGCGATCTGGCGCTCGAGCGAGGGAAAGCGCGCGTGGGAGGCGACGCGGCGACGACCGGGACGCTTCGGTTTCACGACTTGGGCAGCGGCGCCGGCAAATCCGTGCTCACCGCGGCGCTGTGTTCACACTTTAGCGAGTGTCGTGGCATCGAGTTGTTGCCGTGCTTACACGCGGTGGCGCGGTGTCTCGTCGAGGACTTTCATCGAGACGTCGCGCCGAGGGACGACGGGTCGACTCCGCGCGCGAGCGTCGAGCTCGGAGACGTGTTCGAAAACGATTCCTGGCTCGCGTCCGACGTCGTTTTCTGCAACTGCGTCACATGGGACGACGTGACGATGACCAGACTCGCCGCCATGGCGGAGAACATGTCTCCCGGGTCGCTCTTCGTCACCGTCTTGGCGCCGCTCGAGAGCGCGTCGTTCGAAGTCGTCGCCGAGGACGAAATAGACTTCTCCTGGGGCACCGTCGAGGCCATCGTGCATCGTAGAAGATAGACAAACGCATAATCATTAGAATCACTAGCGCTCTCTCGTTTTCGCCACCGTCGTCCACCGTCGATCGATGCCTTCGCGCGCAGTCGAAACCCCGCGGCGCGTTCGCCCGCGTCACATTTTTAGTCTCATTTGACCGACGCGCGCCTTCCACCGCACACGTCACCGCGCGCGCATCGCGTCGCCGCCGATCGCGGTGATCGAACGCGCGCGCGCAGAGGCGTTCGTCGACGCGTTTCGGGCGCCGATAGGACGTCCGCGCGCGACGGGACGGGGAGAAACGCGTCGGGATCGATTTGAAAAACAAAAATCAATGGCGACGCAAACGAACGGTGTTTCCTTTGCGTTTACGGGCGCGCGCGCGCGTGCGACGACGCGAACGGGTGGGCGAAGATTTCAGGTCGCGCGCGCGGGGGCGAAATCGAGCTCGGACGCGCGAGCGGTGATCGGAGAGATGTCGGCGGTGAAGCGGGACGCGAAGGCGCTCGCGCCGGGACGCGCGGAGAACTACGCGGCGCATCGAGAGAGCGCGAACGGGGATTTTATCACCCCGGAGTTCGCGCATTACGCTCTGTGTGGTACCGGGGTCTTGCTCGGGAGTTCGCTGAGCGCGGTGTTGCTGAGTTTAATACCGACTTTACGAAGCGCGCGGAGGACGCTGGATGAGGTGGCGTATCTCGCGGCGAGCGTCAGGGAGGAAGTTCCGGACACGTTGGCGGCGGTTCGAGTGTCGGGATTGGAGCTCACAGACGTGATGGAGGAGGTCGGGGAGCTCACGGCGGACGTCGGAGGCGGGATTCGAAGCGCGGGACGAGGCGTGACGGCGACGGTGAACACGGCGCAGGCCGTGGGGCGGTACGCAGCGGCGGCGATCCCCGAGATTAGGCGACGCGCGAAGCCAATCGCGGGCACTGTGAAGAATGAGACTATCAAGGTTCTGGAGGAACGAGCGGAGATGGAGCCGTACAGCGGGACGATCATCAACAGCACGGCGAATAAGGCAAAGAAGGGGGTCGCCGCGGCTCGAAGCGCCTTGAAATCCGCCGGCGTTGCGCGAAACGTCGGCAAGTTGTACAAAACGATCCGTTCGCCGCCAGCGAAGGACATCAAACCCTGAGCGAAGTAAGTTTTCGCCGTACGTGTAATTAAATACGAACGTTAGTATGATGCATGCGTCGTGATTACATTCGTGACTGTTGCGTTGATAAATGTACAAGGGGGCGCTCACTGGGGCGGGCTGCCCATCGGAGGCGGCGCAATGGCCTTGTACGCGTTTGCCTCGCGCTTCGCCAACGAAGGCAGCATCTCATCGATAGATCGCACGCCCGGAAGCGCTCGGGGGCCGTTGTTAATCGGAGACCCACCGCGATTGGCGTCGCCGAAGGGCTGTCGAGTGAACGCAGGTCTGGAGCCTAGGAGCGCGGAGCTGGAGCGTTGCTTCTCGAGGGCCTTTTGCATGTGCATATCGCGCGTTTCCATCTGCTCACGCTCGAGCAATCGCTGCGTCTCTTCGCACTGGGCCATGGCGGCTTGATACGCCTCGTACAGTTTTTTCGTCTCTTCTTTTTGTCGCAAGTTGGTCTCACGACGCTTGTCGAGTTTATTTGACGCCTCAATGTTGAGCTGCTCGAGGTTGCTAATCTTCTCTCGCGCCTCATCAAGCTTGACCTCGAGCACCTTGACGTTATTTTGAGCATCGCTCACCTCTCGTTCGAGACGACTGACTTCGCGCGAGAACTCCTCCGTCTTGGAACGGAAATCTGTGGAGAGCACTTCGTACGCCACGCGCATGGTTGCCAACTCGTCGCGCATACGAACCTCTCGCTCCGCCGTTTCTTTCGCCGACTCACTGCTCTTCGCGGCGTAATCACGGGCGACCGACTCCGCGGCGCGCGCGGACGCCGCCTCTCGTTCTGCTTCGCTCATGTGCTTCAACATGTCCATGTACTTTTCGTTGTGCGCCTCCTCCTTGGATCGCGAGCGCTCGATTTCAGCCTTTGCGTACTCGACGTCTTGCTTCCACTTTTCTTGCTGCAACGCCGTGGTCGTAATCTCAGCCTTGAGTGCGGACATTTCTTTCTCCACCTCGGTGAGCTGGTTCGCCTTCTCTTCGAGTTCCTTCGATCGACCCGACAGGGTACCGTGCTCCTTGAGCAGAAGATCGTTTTGTCGTCGCAACTCTTGAAGCTCATCACGTGCCTCGCGTTCACGGGCCTCCGCCGCCTTTGCCGCGGTGGTGAAGGCATCGATCTCCGACTTGAGCGACTTCGATTCTGTCTCGCGCTGTACGAGGTTTTTCTCAACCTCAACGAGCTTGATCTTGGCAGCTTCTTCGCCTCGCTGCGCCTCGTGCATCTTCATCATCGCCTCCTCGCGAGCCGACTTGGCGAGATCGAGCTCGGTCTTGGACGCGCAGAGAGCCTTGTTCGATTCCTCCAATTTAGCCTTGAGAGAGACGAGCGAGATGTTAGATGTTTCCTTCGCTTCGCGCAGGGAATCACGCTCGGATTGCGCCGCAGTCAATGCGGCGGTGCTCGCCTCCTTGGCCTCGACAAGCGCGCGCTCAAGCTCTTGGCGCTCCTTGATGAAAGTTTCCAACGAAGCATCTCGCTGAGATTTCAGCTCACTCAGGTTAGACGCGGTCTCTTCGAGCTTGGACTGGAGCTTAGCCTCGGTAACGGCTGCGTTCTCGCGCTGCACACGAAGCGCGTCGACTTCACCCTGGAGTGCTTCGCATTTGGCTGAAGCTGCTTGAAGCTGCTCGCGAAGCGACACTTCGCTCTTCGATAACTCGTTTGCGTTCACCTTGGCGATATTTTCCTTCTCCGATTGCAGAACTTCGATCTGTCGCTTGGCCTCTTCGTACTTTACCTTCAACGTGGCCGATATAGTCGCCGACGTCTCGCGCGCGTTGTTCAACGCGGCGAGCTCCGCCTGCAGCGCCTCGATCTTCGTCTCCTTGTTCTCGAGCGCACTTCGAAGCTGCATCTCGATATCGGTGGTGGCATTCTTGACGTTCGCCTCCTTGGCGGCGTGCGCGGCGAGCGCGCTTTTGACCTCTTCGTATTTCGCGTCGAGCTTGGCGTTCGCAGCGCTCGCAGTTGTGAAATTCAATCTGAGCGACTCGACTTGCGCCTGAAGACTCTTCACCTCGTTCGCCTTTGCCTCGAGTTCGGCGGTGATCTTCTGTATATTAGCGGTGTCCTCGACGGGCTTCGCGGCGGCGACGCGCTCCGCGTCGCCCTCTCGCGCCGCCTTGAGATTGGAAATCTCTTCCATCGCCTCCTCGTTCTTGGCTCGAAGAACGGCGAGATCATCAACCTTCTTGTTGAGCCTACCTCGAAGTGCCTCACAGTGCGCGTTAAGTCGCTCGATCTCGTCCGTCTTCACTTTGAGTTCGGCTTCGGTGACGGCGCTCGCCGCTCGTGATTCAATCGACGACAATCGCTGCATTGCCTCGTCGTACTTGCTCTTGAGAGCCGCGCGCTTCTCAGCCGATTCTTTACTCTCTGCGCGCACGCGCTCGAGCTCGGACTCGAGCTCGCACACGCGGCGAGACTCGTTGGAAGACAACTCGGAGAATTTGGTGAGCTCCGAACCGAGCTCACCGAGCTCGATCGTGAGCTTGGACTTTTCTCTCACCAACGAGTCGCGTTGGTCGCGAAGCTCGCTCGCAGAGCGTCTCGCCTTTTCAACATCCAAACGCATCTGCGCCTTATCTTGCTCCCACATCTCCTTGTATCGGCTCACTTCGGCACTGAGATCGTTAATCGTACCATTTTTGTCCTCGAGCAATTGATCGATCTTGTCGTCGAACTTGGTCTCGAGCTCGCGAAGCTTTGTCTCTGCGGCGCGCCTCGCGACATTCGCCGAGTTTGTCTTGTGACGCAAGTTTTCGCACTCCACCTCGAAATCGCGAATCTGCCCGAACAATTTCTTCCGTTGCTTCTCCATGCGCACTTCGTTCTCGCGCAGGATCTCGATCTCGACCGCGGCGTCGCGTGCTTTCGCTTCGGCCCGTCTCAGATTTTCCTTGTCCTCGCGCATTTCCTCGCGAAGCGCATTGAGCTCTTCGTCATTCTTACTCTGCTCCCTCTTCGCCAGAGCGCTTCTCTTATTTTCCATCGCCAAGATCATCTCCGTTCGAATCTGTCGCGCGCTCTCGAGCTTGGTCTTCGTCTGCTTCGTCCACTCGTTTTCAATCAACTTTTGGACGCTCGACGGAAAGTAAAACCCCCCGAACCACATCGAGCTCCCATCTTTCATCGAGAGCGTCACCCCAGGCTCCCAACTCGACTCCCGAGCGCTCACGCCCGCGATCTCGGGATATGAAATCTTTAACGAGATCGGTTTCGTCCCCTCTCTCGCCTTTTTCTTACTCGGCGAGAATAAAATTCCGTCCCGCTCGCTCGCGTCCGCCGCGTCGCAATAGAAACAAATCGCCTCGCTCGTGATGAACAAATCCCCGGTCCCACTCGCGATCGGACCGCCCAAGTGCGCCCGATACTGCTCCAACATCGTCGTCCTCGGGCGCAGCGCGAATCGCGCCCAGCATCCGCCCAACGCGCGCGCCTCTCGCCGCTCCACCGCGCGCGCCTTGTTTCTGTGCGCCCAGCCGCGCACGCGCGCTTGGACCCTCGACACCGCGCGTTTCCGCGCCGGATCGAGCGATTCGTACGCCTCCTCGAGCGCTAATAATTCTCGCGCGCTCGGCATCGTCCTCGCGGTCGCGGCGCGGGCGTCGCGCGGTGCGGGCGACGCCCGCGCGCGCGCCGTCCGCGGGTGACGGTTGGTCTTCGTTCGTACCCCTCGAGGGACTCGTGTCGAGTCATGACTCGTCGACGTGACGTTTCACGACGTTAGGGTCCCGTTATTGGTGTGTTGTATACGTGCCACGCGCACAGATAGAGTATTGGTGTGTTATATACGTACCACGCGCGCG